TCGGGGGAGCGTAAGACCCGGGTTTGCCATGACTCGGGTTCGCCATCGTTTTTTGACGACCGCGCCTCGGATTTTGACGAGGAGGAGTTTCGTGGGATGTCTGCAGCGGGAGGCCTCGTCAAAATGCAGGCTCGGCCTCGTCATTTTTTTGACGACCTCGTCGGGGATTTCCGAGTCCCCTGTACCCGGGTCTTACGCCCCCCTGACTGTAGGAGGACGCGCCCGACCCGAGTCTGTGCGGCAGCTGCCCGCCCAGGCCTGGCCAGCCGCCCCTGGCCGAGGGCGCCTCGGAGCGGCGCCGCCCCGGACGTGGCCTGCGTCGGCCGCGCGAGGGCGGCGCGCGCGCGCTCGGCGAGAGGACATTTATCTAGAGCATCAAGTCGGGCCTGTCCCCCTACAGGGGGATTTTCGACGAAAAATAATACATACCCCCAAAATAATACAAAAATGCTCCAAAAATAGCCTGGGGACTATTATTCGAGTATTTGTTGACCTTTTTGATGTTTTTTTTTGGGGGGGGGTATGTTTTATTTTTTGTCGAAAATCCCCCTGTAGGGGGACACGCCCGACTTAAATCTAGCATCGGGGGCGGCCGTGAAGGGGGCTGGACGACCAGCGGGGGGGTGGGCATCACGGCGGGGGCCACATGCGAAGCCTACCCCTACCCCCCACGATTTCTGAGGGGGAGGGTGGGGTTCGCTTCGTTCGGGAGCTCCCGAGCGGAGGGAACCCCACCCTGCCCCTCAGAAGTCGTGGGGGGTAGGGGCAGGGTTTGCATGTGGCCCCCTAATCACGGCGGGGGCCATGAGATCTCACCAGGTTTCTTGGCGCTCCTCTTGTCTCAATGCGTCCCCGGCTCCCGCCCCCCCGGGGCCGCGCGCGTGCTGCCGGCCATGATCCGCGCCCCCCCCTCTTGTGGGCGCCCCCCTCCTTGGACGCCCCCGATGGCTCAAGCTCCGCGGCGGGCGCTTCCTGCCATTGCCGCGCGGGAAACGATCTGCTGCCAGACTATGACTTACGTGCTCGGGGCGGGCGTGCGTCTCCTGCAGAGGCGCACCGTATCACTATGACCTTACGCCGCCGAGCGCGTTCCACTACTCGCAACGTGCCTACTCGCAAACGCCCGAAAGACACATGCCTGCCCCGATGTCATATATCGCGGATCCCCCACGGCGGATCCAGGCCATTTGCGAGTAGTTACCTCGCGAGTCGTGGAGGGGGAGGAGGAGGAGGAGGAGGAGGAGGAGGAAGAGGAGGAAGAGGAGGAGGAGGAGGGAGGAGGAGGAGGAGGAGGGAGGGGAGGGAGGAGGAGGGGGGGAGGAGGAGGAGGAGGGGAGGAGGAGGAGGAAGGGAGGAGGAGGAGGAGGAGGAGCAGGAGGAGGAGGAGGAGGAGGAGGAGGAGCGCGCTCGTCCACTACGGCCCCCCTCGGCGCCGGCCCCCCGCGGCCGAGAGGAACCTGCTGCACGAGGTGCAAGCCGGGGCGCTGCTGATGCGGGGCTGCGCCCCGGGGGAGGCGGCGGGCCTGCACGAGAGGCCCGGGGGGCGGGGCACGCGCGCTCCGATCGGCGGTGCAGTCCTCTGGGCCTCCTACAGTCGGGGCCCTGAGGAAGGAACCCTCTTCGTTGGGGAGGGGCTGCGTGTTCCTTGATCGCTTCGCAGTTTGCCTCGGGTTTTCGTTTGGTTTTCGAGGGGAAATCGAAGTTCAACTTGTGGATAGAAGGGGCCTCGTTCCTTATTTGGGGTTCCTTAGGTCAAGGGCCCGACTGTAGATGGGGTCGGGGTAGGTGGGGTTGGAGGATCGCGCCGCATCGCCGATGCGTCGCCGATGCGGCGCTCGATGTGGATGGAGCCCGATCTGCGTCACGTCGACGTCGCCGATGCACCGCCGACGTCGACGATGCATCGCCGGTGTATCTCCGATGCGTCGACGATGCATCGCCGACGCATCGGCGATGCGCAGCGATTCTCTGACCCCATCCACTCCGACCCCATCTAGGAGGCCTCTAGGGGCGGAGCACGCGCGCTCCGATCGGCGGTGCAGTCCGCGCCCCATCCTCGCCTTGGAGTTCCATCGGGCGTGTCCCTCTTCAGGAAGAGTATTCAATCACAGTTTGAAAAATAGTCTGGGACGATGTTTCGACTCTTTTCTGACCCTGCTGGGGTATTTTTTTTGGGGGCTATTTTTGAAGTTTTCGCCCAGCATCCGCCTGTCGGGGCATGGCGGTGAAGTCTGCGCCCCACCCTCGCCTGGGAGCCGTCTGTCGGCGGCGGGCGAGGGGGGGAAGTGAGAAGGGGTGGGCCTCCTCAGAAGGCTCGGAAGTCCCCCCGGCTTTCTGAGAAGTCCTCTCGGCCTTCCCCGCAGACGCAGAGAACTTCTCTCGGAAGGCGCGAGGGCCTCTGCGAAGCCCCGCCGCCTTCTGAGAAGGCCTTCTCCTTCTCATTTCCCCCCCGCGCTCGCCGCCATGTCTGGGGGTCCGAGGTGGCCCAGCACGGGTTCCGGCCAGCAGGGAGGGCGCGGGCAGGTTCAAGGTTCCGGGCTCGGTCCAAAATTTTCGCGCCTCGTGCGGCCGCCAGCGGCCGACTTCGAGCCCCTGGGCTCTCGGGTGTTGCCAGAAGTGCCCTTGGCCTAGGGTGCCCCCCAGGAATTCCAAGGAGGCCCCTATGGCCTCCAGAGCACCCCTCACGAGGCTCAGGGGGCCCCCCGAGGCGCCAGGATCGAGCGCGAAGCTGGGGGCACCTCGGGCCAGGGGCACCTGTAGCACCCTCATAGACTCGTCGAGCATGGATCCAGGGCGGAAAAAGCTGCGCCAGAGACGCCCTGGGAGGGGGGGTCGGAGGACTGATTTTGAGCGGGTCTGCCCCCGTCCCCCCCTCCTGGCACATTTTCTCGGGGTCCATCTAGTTCACCCCCCCTGGCCGCCTCCATCCCCCTCGCCGACCAACGATTCGGGCAACTCGGTGGGCGGCGGGGGTATGCTTCGGAATGTGTCGAACACGCGGCGAGCTCCGAACCGTAACCCCCGCCCCCCGTAGGTTCAGGAGGATCGATGATCTGTGGGTAGGTTTCGGATGTCACTACCTATTCAGGCGCTTCCCGGATGGGGTCCGAGTAGATGGGATTGGAGGATCGGGCCTCATCGCCGATGCAGCAGCGATACGGCGCGATGTGGAGCCCGATTTTCTCCACGCCGACGGCGCCGATGCATCGCCGACGTCGCCGACATACCGCCGAGGCATCGGCGATGCATCGGGGATGTAGCGCGCTCTTCCGACCCCATCAGCTCGGACCCCATCTGGGACGCCTCTGAGAAGAGCGCGCGCTGCACCAGCACAGATCAGTCGAAGCTCCGAGTGGATGCGTCTTGGAAACCCCAGAGGCCCAGCGTGGTGAGACAACCTCGGCATCGCTCGGACGTGTGCGTTTTTTTCTCGGCGAGGATCTTCTACCCGGACCCCGACGTCATGTTTTTTTTTTTTGGCATGACGTCGACCCCCCAGAGGCCTCGACCCGCTCCCCTGGACCAGCTTGCCATCCCAGGGCGTCCTTTCGCGGCCCCGAGGCCCAGCAGAGGCTCCCAGCGGCCGGAAGTAGCGACACCTTTCCCGTCATGACTCGAGGGGGTCTGGAGGAGGAGGAGGAGGAGGAGGAGGAGGAGGAGGAGGAGGAGGAAGAGGAGGAGGAGGAGGAGGAGGCGGGGGCGGAGGAGGTAGGAGGAGGGAGAAGGAGGAGAGGAGGGAGGAGGAGGAGGAGGAGGAGCAGGAGTAGGAGCATCCTCAACCATCGGGCCAACAAAAAGCACGCGCGAAGCCGACAAACAAGTGCACAGGGCAGGGGACGCCCGAGCGGCGGCGAGAACAACAAGACGGCGGGACTTTTCGCCGCTCTCGGCTTTCTTTTTAAGGGCCCTGGCCAGGTCACTCCTCCTCCTCCTCCTCCTCCCTCCCCCTCCCCCTCCTCCTCCTCCTCCTCCTCCTCCTCCTCCTCTTCCTTACCCTCCTCCTCCCTTACCCTCCTCCTCTCCTCCTCCTCCTCCTCCTCCTCCTTCCTCCTCCTCTTTACTCCTCCTCCTCCTTCCTCCTTACCCTCTCCTCCTCTTCCCTCCTCCTCCTCCTCTTCCTCCTCCTCCTCCTGGCCGTCAAGAACTGGCTCTGGATGAGAAGCCGGTCCCTGGGAGT